ATCAGTAGGATCACAATTGAAAAACATTCCCAGTTTTTTCGTTGTAAATATTATTTACACATTTAAAATCTTTGTCATTTTAGAATCAGTAGGGCACAGAGAAATATAGCAAGCATCATAATTGGAATTATTTAAATTCTTTGTTCAATTTTCTTTGAATTGTGAAGTAAAATAACACAAAAATTGAAATCWGAGAAATTTAAAATCTTGCCATAATGATAATTAATGTGCTTCAACAAAAATAGCTCACAGAGGTTGGATACATTTTAGTTTCTTCAACTGCTTTTTACCTTAATGAAAACTGATATAATAGCATTTTTCTTTTCATTGCTTCATAGACTCCATAAAATAATTTTTATTGAAAAAATATTTTGTTGATCATTCAGTTCCTTTAAAATCTATGCCTAGCCTCATGTATGTAGTTTGCACCCTATAATAATTTCCTAGTGTGATATTATTATAATATATCAGTGAAAAACTTACACAGTGCTGACTGTGAACCCTGGACAGAACAGAGAGATTTACATATATTATGAAGTCATTCTTCAAAACAACCCTATCTGGTACAGTTTATAATATTATATTATCTTTTGTCAATAATTAGTTTACTCAAAGGTGTACATTAATAAATGGAGATATCCAGGAGTGCACTGTTTGACTACAAACACCATGGTCTTTATTTTGCAACATAATAATGTCAAAGTATGAGAACATTTTTATTACTCTTTGATAGATTTTGAAGTACAGATGTTCCTCTGCTTGCAGTGAGGTGACTTTTCTACAAGCCTATTATAAGTAGAAAATATCATAAGTTCAAAATGCATTTAACACAGCTAACCTACTGAGCATCATCATAGGTAGTAGCACCAAAGTGCACTATAGAGTACTGGTTGTTTACCCTCAAGGTCACTGAGCTGACTGGAAACTGGCTTGTGTTCTTGCCCAGTGTTTTGAGAGAGTATCATATAGTATACCACTACCTGGGAAAAAAATAAATAAAACTTTAAACTACAATTTCTATTGAGCATGTATTGCTTTTGAACCACCTTATAGTCGAAAAATTGAAGGTGGAACTATTGTTAGGTTGAGGACCCTCCATATGATTTTCTAAAAGTTTCATGATATGTTTTAGTATCTTTGGTCACTTACAAGTGTGGCACAATCTACATTGATTTCTTCAGTACTGAGTCTATCATTTATTGTTGCTTTATTTTAAAATGTGTAAATGATACAGTCTTAGTTTTCCTCTTTTTAACAATTACAGTGAAAATATTTTCTGCCTAATCAAAGTATTTTTGTGAACTTACTCTTCCTGTCTTTCTGTCATTTATCTAGTGGCATCTTACTGCTTTACTTACCCACTATATGATCACTTGTTTAAGAAATTAAATCATCATTTATCCACAGCTTGCAGTCTTGCTTCTCTGATGTAGTATGTTYGAGAATCTCTTCCCTAGAGGTATAATCACCTTGCTTCCACGGGAGGGAGGTTATCTTACTTACATTAGCACACTTCATACATATATTGATCAAGGTTTGGCTAAACAATTTCATTCGAATCTTCCTGGGTCCAGAAAACTTCTGTTATCATATTTTAATCTTCTGAAGGATAAATCGAAGTATCTTGTTAATAACAAAGACCAACTGTTTTTTTATGATAATTTTGAGGGCTAAACTATTTTAAACTTGGATAATAATGATCTTGTTATAACTGTATGCAGTTACTTACAGAGTTCCAGGTGCTAAAAACTAAATGGAATGCAGATGTACCTGTGTTGAACCATAGCTCACAGAAATTAGATTGGCTGCTATTTCTAGCACATTTCGGTTTCTATTTCTGTTATCTCTGATGCTTGTAAGCATTTTCAAGTGCATATCTGAATATTTATTGATAAAGGAAAGCATATTTTTATACCATCTGGTGCTGAGGTATTATAATAATAGCATCCTCAAAATTTGTCCCAAAATGCTTATTTGGGCAGTTATTATTCTACTTTACATTTTCACAGAAAAGGAATGTAAGTTTTAATTTTCTTAAAAAATGTTAATGYTTTGACCACTGAATCCTTAGAAAATGTAAAGAAATGATTTATTTTTAAGATACTTTGGTCATTTTGTATTTATATGAATTGATCTATTTTTAATTGCTGAGTTATATTCTAAATGGGAATATTAAGCATGGTAATATCATATGGATCATGAAAAAATCATTTCCTCTAAGATCTATTCTACTACATTGATTATATTATTAAGAGTATATTATTGGGCTGGGGATGTGGCTCAAACCGAAGCATGCTTGCCTGGCATGTGCAGGGCGCTGGGTTCGATCCTAAACACCACATATAAATAAATAAAGATGTTGTGTCCACAGAAAACTAAAAAATAAATATTAAAAAATTATCTCTCTTTCTCTTTTATCTCTCTCTCTCTCTCTAAAAAAATAGTATATTATTAAGAGTAATAACTAATATTTTTATTCMAAAATATATGATGGGTTGGAAACTGATCGAAGTACACTATAAGTAATTTCTCATTCTTTTTTTCACAAAACCGATAAGATCCATTTTTATCACTATTTTATAGATTCAACTAAACATAGTCTAGTTACATTCTAGTTACTTAAGTTACTCCCAGTGATTKATCCAGAGCCTCTTAAAGCAATCCAAAGAAAGCATCATTGGAAAACCTAAATCAATGTTTGGTAAAATAAAAGTGATTTTGCATGGCTTCAAGTCTTTTGATTAAATTTTATCAAAACAATAAAGTAGAATTCTATTTATAGGTAAGATGATTTAGATTCTTTAGGACTAAAATATGTAAATTTGTTGTTCTAGTGAATTGCATGGCAATGAATGTGTGTGATGTGTGTATGTACTAATTTGAAGACAGAATGCTTATAATTTTTCAAGTTAAGAGAATTTAATAGAATGCTCTTATTATTTTTAAAATCATTGAAGTTTTAATTGAATATTGGAATGATGAGCAATATGAAACCAATCCTATTAGATAATGTCCAATCACAGTGCAGTTATTTTTCTAAGCACAGATCTGTATGAGTTTATAAACTGCAAATTCTCAGGAAGAGGCAAATTTGTCCTTTATGACAAATTTCTTACTWAAAACCCAYCAATACACTTGTCAATAATTAGTAATAATTTATTGAGTTGGAATTCATGGATATAATTAACAGAAGTGTGCAAACTTGTATGTGTTAGTAGATATGAGTAAATTGAGATGATTGTGTTGTTATTAACAATTATGGTAAAACGTGGTTATTCATTACATTTCAACTATGAAAAAAACCTAAAAGATCAAGGAATCATCTTCATTCCAAGAAACTAACRCTCTAAGAAATAGGGTCAAACTTTTTTTAAAGGGCCAAGTGGTAAATGTTTTAGCTTTGCAGGCCATGTGCCTTTGTCACACCTATTTTACTCTGCTATAGCAGCACTGAAGAATCCATAACCATCTTCTAATGAGACTGGCRAACTTCCAGTAAAACTATATTTACCAAAACACATGGTGGCCTGGATTGGGCCCATGGGCCATAGCTTGTCTGCCTCTAATCTGAGTGCTAAGACAAGGCAAAAGCTATATAAAGTTAACTTAAATACAATTTTAGTAATTGTTTAATACATCAATGAAATAGGTGTAAATATAAAAAAATTGTTATATATCTTATAAAAGTTTTACCTATTCATATAGTATCTTAATATTTTAATATGGTATGAYTCTGGTTTTAATATATCTGCAATGCAAATTATTATTTGACATAYTCTTTAAATTATCATAAGTATTAAAATTGAAAATAATGTCATAGTATCCCTATTGCTTATAAGGATTCCATTTTAGTGACAGACAAACCCACAGATACTTAGTCAGACTTAAAATTAGAACGTCACAAATGCTGGGGGAATAAGGTATGAAACATTGTCTACTTTTCCTCTGAAAATGATCCATTGGAATTTGATTTGGAATTAGTAGTCTGGCTTCATTAACATTTGCAAATTCATTGGGTATTTATATTTTATTTTCTTCTCTTTTATATAAAATAAAGTCGATATATTTCAAGTAAAGTTAAAAAACAAATTTTTATCAAAAGCCTAGACCTGCTGGTATATCATTACTGAGATGATATCATTACTGAGTTCACATTACAGTTCTCTTGAAATCAGTTTAAATGCTATTCATAAAAGTAAATCAAACTGAATGCATTGAAGCACTAAATAACTTCTGCCATAAGTTTTCATGGTTTCTATCAATAAAGTTCACTTTATTGGAGAACTTTGTATTTACTGGAGTTTTTAACATGAATATATGGAAAATTAAAAATAACCTTGTACTTTACAATATCCAGAAAAGTGAATGGATTATATACAACTTGCTTTTTTAATACAGCTATTGCTCTACAAATGTATAAATATACATATTTAGAATTGCATTTTTAAAACCTGAAATGTAAATTTAAATTGGAAGCCTTCTATAAGTGATTGAAGAAGTCACATAAGCATAAAATTTTCAATATGCTGTGATAAGTAATACCACTGGCAATAAGAAATCAGTGGGTCAAATTAATAAGACCTATTACTGGAAACTTGCATGCTATATGAAACACATGTATTTAAAAGGTTATTTAGAATGACTTTCAAATGTAAATTTTGGAGAAATTTCTTAAGGAAAGAGATGTTTAAATGGGCTTACATCTTTATTTATATATCTATATATTTAATTGCATACAATTGATTAAAGTATGTTGGCTCATTATATTTCCTATTGAATAATCATTTTAAGTAAGATAAAAATAACTAATGTCACTCTGTATTTCTTAAATCCATAAGTGTTTCTTAAACTGAAAGCCATGGTGGAAAAACTTACTATATGYATTTAGAGTATTTTTATTTTGATGAGCAGACAGACACTTGAGTAAATCCAGTGTCTTTATCTATATTTGAGGGAGTGGGATCTCTTCCTTATYCTGGGCTCTCTTGTTTGCTTTTCAGTTGCTGCGAATGTGGCTGTGGGAGGGCTTCTTCCCTGTGCGCTGTTGCCCATCCAAGCCTAATATGGTTAGTGTTCCCTCCCGCTTTCACTCCCACRTGATGTCCACCTCTATGTATGACTGTCAGCATTCCTTTTCTTTCTCCATCTGTGTACATTTTGACACTTGGTGCACCAGTTACACTTTAACAGTGAAAAAAGTAGATGAAACTGGTTCCCAAAGGTAAATCCTAATAAGTGATTTCACAACAAATTATTTTAACTAAAGTATTATACATATAGCACATCATCCCTATGTCAAGCATTCATAGTTCTCTTCTGCAGCTTTTACTGAGATTCTGATTTTAAATAGGAAGTTGTAARATTATAGCATCTGTTCCACATTTAACATGTCACTGTTTTTGTTGTTCCATTCAGTATAATCCATATCACATGTGGAAGTACAGTACTACTTCTGTCAAGGTWAAATCAYCTTTTCTGTCTCCCAGAAACATGGAATGACCATAATGTAATTGGGATCTTCAATTGTCATACTCATTGTGGATACATGTGGCATTKATATACAAAACCACATATAACTTTAAATGGTTTATTTTTATTAAGCTTGAATTATTTCAGATATTTGAAGTGATATTCCTATTTTGATACCACTGAACAAAAATATGTACATTTGTGGAATCAGTGTCTAAATGGTATAGTCTCAATTATTTATGAGTTAAAATTTTTAAGAAATACCTGGGTTATAACAATAACACAGTAGACTGGAAAAATAGGACCTGAGAACTCTCATCCTTGGTTTTGGGAAATTCCTACATATTACTGAGCCACTTTATAAAAATTGAAGTACTCCAGGTAATTCCTTTATAAAGAGTCTAAAGCATTGAATTATTTTATTGAGTTCTCATTTGTTATCAAAATTTATCAAGAAACAATTTTTAAAATGCCTTTAAAAGAATTAGAGTTTCTTTCATAACATCATTTAAATTTGTTTCTTATATTCCCTAAGTTTTATTAATTTTTTGTTGAATTAAAAAAGCTTTGTAAATGAGTGTGCACACAYGTGCACAGATGAGAAATGGTGGAATGGATACCAGAAATATTTGGATCAAAGAAGAGTAAAAAAAACACAGGCTGATGCAAATCAAAGATCTTTCTCTCATTCTCTTGAAAGCTTTGTATTTKWAAAAAAAAGTTTTGAAGTTAATATGAAAGCACAGATTTTTGTGTATCATTTACTTCACACAGGAATATCTTCTGGGCATGAGGCTTCAGTGACAAAACAGAYAAATACTGCAATCTGACAATAGCAAAACTATAAAATGTAAATGACTTTACATTGTGATTTTTCTACTGTGCTATGAAAAAATACAACATAGTTGTTAAATTGCCTATTCTACCTCAGTCTAAAGTACAGTGTTATAAGAGATAACTTATCACTAAATTAGAATAGATAGAATTTACATTTTAGAAAGAAAGAAGACTGATATCCATGCCTATGTTGAAGTAAATGTCAAAGAAACTTAACTGGGAACATGAACATTAATGAGCCCATGATTTAGTAAGTATTGGCAAAGATGAACGTCAACTAGATTGAATTAATGAATTTTTAAAAAGTTTTACATTGTGATTTTACATTGTTTTTACATTGTGATTTTTCTACTGTGTCTTTGAAAGAAGGAAAGTGGGAAGACAMCTTCTTTGCAAGGAATACACCAGAAAAACCAACCATAAAAACTTTTGCTTAATATCTTTTGTGAAACRGTGTTAGGAATTGTGGAGGCAAATAATGGTTTGTCTGTGTGCATGTGAACTTGTCTGTGTGTATACAGAAAAAACTTATTTAGTCACAGATACTCTTAGGTACTTTTCAGAGGAAGCTGGAAAATCTGAAATCTGTCACTGAATTTTGTGTGTATCGTCATACCAGCCTTTGTTAATTATCATATAAATAATTTTCAAGAAACTCTATCATCATCATCATTTATGAACAGGCACATTTTCAAATACTTTTAGACATTTTGGATCTTGAAATCTCTTTTTTCATTTCTTGAAATAAATAGATGTGTGGTTGGTTTTGACCTTATTATAACATRATGCTTTTATTACAATTGTCCATTGTATAGTCCTTGACCTTTAGAAATACCTTGAGATACTTTATGGAAATATATTGAGCTACCTTGAGACACTTTGAAATACTTGTGGAATAARCTTTGTGGAAGTAAAACTTTCAGCACCAGCAATCTACATCCTTGTTTCTGTAGTTCAGCCTTATCAAAGCTTCTACAAGGTGCTGATCTTGAGTTTTGATTTCTGTCCTATTTCCCTCCAGAAAGGCACAATCCACTATTTTTCCCATGGCATGTTTTACTATTTAAAATGTGAGATCTGTTTTTACATGTTTCCATCKTTCATCCTTGGTCTTAAATTATTTTTATGACTTGTAACTGTTTGCTTTGTTATGACATCCATAAACATCATGTTAATATTCCAGATATTGTCCCTGCTTCGACTGAAATCTACTGTGATACTGTGGATATTTCTATAGTTATTTCTGTAATATTTCTGATTGCTAGTCATATGTCTAGAATTAAAATGCCCTTTCCCCACGACTGCCAACATTTTAAGCAAAGGTACTCTTTTCAATGGCCTGTGCCTTTAAGCCATCATATCTGGCTCAGAGTCTAGTCATTGTCTCACATCTTAAAATATATTTTTTTAACAAATAAGGAATGTTGAATTGATTGTTATCAATTTAATCATATATGACATAAAATAGATATTTAATTTCWAAAATAATGTTACCATTTATTCCTGAAGTCTCTCGTGTTTGTGCTGATGGAAACCAATATCAATCTGTAGTATATTATTTTTATGTCAATCTGAAATATCCTAGAGTCTCCAAAATAGCCATTTCTTGATTTCTTAAATTCAAATACACCAGTTTATTTCCCTTGTTCATTATTTTTCATATTTTACAGTGTTTACATGTCCTATAGTATTTCTTCAGAAGGGTTTAAGTGTCAAAGGAAAAAACTTTTAAGTATTTTGAAATTAGAGATGTTGAATTGTTATTTTGTGCACTTGYCTATTCTGTTTGGAAAATCATTCATTTWTTWAAAGAAACCAATTTTCTTATTTAAACATATTTTTAATCAGTAATGAGATAAATTCTACTTCCTCTTAAGATGCAAATATTAAAATATTTTGTAATGCAATTGTTAAAAACAAACATCTCCAGCCAAAGGTGAATTTTTGAAGCATTATTGTCTAATTTTTTCAACAAACTATTTTCTTTTTATATTAAGTACATAAGTTTATAATAATTTGAAGTAGGAAGATTTTTACCTTCACATATACATTTCAGAGACTATTTATTCATTCTTACAAGATGTCAGTCACGGAAATGTACATAAGTACTCTTCCCTTTTATACAGCATAAAAATAGCATAAAAATTTAAAAAAATATTTTGTTATAATTATGGACCTCCATTTAGAGTTTTTTTGTGCTTGAAATATGTGCTGAACATATTAAATTCCAATTGAAGGCTTGATTGTAAAATGTAACTAAGAATTTCTCCAACGTCCCCTTTAAAAAAAAATACTGTAGAACTTCAGATTGTAAGAGATAATAAATGAGTCTACTCTAAGATTTCCAAAGAACATCTATGAAATAGTTAAAAGTTAATAGGAAATTACCTACTCTAACATTAGAACAAAACTTGTTGGAAAAAGGGAAATTAAATCCCATATGTCATATTTTGTGAAATGTTATATAACAATTCTAAGTGAATTAAAATTTAATTTAATTTTGAAAATAGTCTAAGTATTTGAAAAATTTCAGGTCTTCCTACGAGGTTCTAAAAGGATTTTGAGAATTCAAAAATGGAAGATTTACAAATTTATGTGTACTGTACACTTTTGAAGGTGTTACTTGACTTTCTTATTTTTTTTTAGAATGTACAGATAACAATAACATCCAAGTCATAAAATAAGATAAATTAGCTTCCCATATGCTACTAATCACAGGATGGTTAGTGACCTTGATCAAATGGGAGATGGTGACTCAATTGCATCATTCCTTGGTTCAAGGAGTCTATGTTTTCAGGATGAGTATATTTCTATTGAAGAGTATACTTAAGAATTTTCAATAAGTAGTGACAGATTAGTTGCACGTTTTGTCTTTGCAGATCTATCTATAGAGAATCCAAACTCTAGTGTCCAGGTATTGCAAATGAAGGAAATRTGGATGAGAGTCATGAGGTTGTGCTGGCAAGCTATCCTAAATGTCTGTCCCATTCTTGTGGAAGAATGCTCCAACATAAATAAAATTTCACCTATTTCCAATGTGAATTAGATATATTAAAAGCAATGTTCGTGTGCTTCTCTATCTTATGAGACTGAGTTAGCTGAACTTTTATTAAAATTACCTTTAATTGGAGAGAATTCTGAAATGAAAACTTCAAAGTCTTTTCCCAAAAGCTATAACCTATTATCTTCAAGATTCCCCAAATAAAAATCTTTAAATACAACATAATGCAGTGGTTGAAATCATTATTATGTCAGAAAAAGTATGGCAGATTAAGAAATGTAGTTTTAAAAGAGACTAAATTAAATGATTTTATTTTTCTATGAGAAGTGAATACCTAGAAGTGAATGATTTTATTTTTCTATGAGAAGTGAACACCTAGAAGTGAATGTTTGTTATAATTTGGAGTTTTCTTTTTGGAACATTTTTACTTTAAAGTGTAGAAAGAACATTTCTTAAATATTCTGGAAATTAGAGAAGCAATACAGGAGTACCTRATTCATAGTCAAGCACTGTATGTTCTTATTCTTTTAAAGAAATCAAAATTCAAAACCATTCCTCCTTCTACCACTGTASCCCACCTATTCTTATTGAGATTAATTTGAAAACAATTATTCAGTATTTGTTTCTTTTGGCTAAAGCATTAAAAACTAAATATGATTGTGTGGAGGCTGTTGTTGAGTAAGGATTCATACTCTTTTTGGCTATTCTATTCACTTGTTTTATCTCATTGGCCACAAAGGTGCCATTTAGTAAATTAGTGATCCTGTGCACTGCTTGGTACTCTGGAGTGTTTGACATTAATATTTTAAATTTATTATCATATCCTAAATTTATACCCAGCACTAAATTATTAATTGGCACCTCCATTTATACACAAAACTATTGTTTTCTGTTTCATGTATTATGGAAATTTCAAATATACAAGTTAAATATAGTGGCTTTGACCAGGTTTTTAAGATCCACATTAATATTATCAGGTATGTGTTGCCAAACTCCTTAGGATAGGTATGGGAGAAAATGGAACAATGTATAAATTTACCCTTAAAGTCATTGCTATATTTTTTATATCAAGCACCTCTCTCTAGGACTGTAATAAATATTAATGAATAAATATTGGTTGAATATTATATCTCTTTTATCAAACCCATCTATAAAAGCACCTTGTTTTTTAGAACATGAATGTAATTGATTAGAAGATGATTCCTTTAAATATAAATACTACATATATTTTAGTACACTAATTTCAAGGCTCATTAAAATTGGTATATAAAGCAGGATGAAGAAACTGTTTCTTTTTCATTCAGAAAAAAAGTAACTCAGAAAATAGGAGGCTTATTTTATGTACAGAATGACATGTTTATTGACTTTGTTTGATTGGTTAAAATTATGCATCTGGAGCAAGAACAGAAGATGACTTAGAATGAGCCCGCTTCCTTGCTGTGCTTTGTTAATGAGGCTGAACCACTGCTTGAGTGCCAATCTTCACCAGCTGTACTTTTACTTTCTGTACCTTGTTGAGGCTTGTTTTAATGATGCTTTGGAGGGTTCCAGAACTTAATTTTATATGTTAATGTGACATGCAGCCGTATATGTTACAGAGCTCTAGAGATGCCCATAGTCGAAAATAGCTCCTTTCTATTGCCTTCCTGACTCTTACCCTAGGTAATAAAATTTTAACTGCTTCACACCAAGGTATTTCCAAATCATTTTTTAGAGGAGATACAATGTTTTATTTCCATTTCCATATGAGAAATTTGCATACAATTTAAATACCTGGAGGCTATTTAATGGTAAAGGCTATTGGAAATTACCATTTTGAAAGCTTATTATTTATTTATTCTTTGGACATGAGAGTTTAAGGTAGAATGGATGTTTGTAAACTGAAAGAATATGTGTTCTTTTTGGTTTTCTTAGAATTTTTCTAACAAAGTCTTTTGTCAGTATTTAAATAACATGAATCTCAGGGTGATTTCACACAATTGTATTWAAAGTATTGTAAAAAGAAATATCAATAAATGTTCTCTCTAGAGGTGCATGCATTAAAAACCAAAAGAAAAATGGAATAACTAAAACTTATGAAAAATGTAACATAAATCTTAGTTTGAATAGACCAAATATAATTTCATGTATTTGTTTTTTCTCTCCATTTCACTGTGATGAGGTGACTCAAAATGTCTTAAGGKCTCTTGAAGGACAAATGCATCTAAGTATGAGGAATAGAATTTGAAAAGTCACCAGATCTCTGTAGTATATTTTCCTCACCCAAGAATACTATATGTATTAAGTATATTATTTCAAGTTTATTCAAAAATTTTCTAGCTGTATTTTTCTAATAAGTTACCAGTTTCTTAATACAATAAAGACATAAGGATTGGAGGTTTTGACCAATTCCTAATATATATGTAAATTATGGAAATGACAGAACAAAAATGTGTCATATTTTTAGATCAAAATATAGATTTTTTTTAAATACCACAGAATATGGAATATTCTGTTGGTAAATGTCTATTGTACACTTCACCTTACGTCACACAGTAGTTTTCAACCAACCTTGTAATGAAAATAATAATTCATCAATCTACCATTTTGACTGTATTTTCTTAAATGAACTAATAAATGAAAAATTTATTTGCAATGAACTCAGTTTTGTGGTGGAATCTTATGAATAGTAAAATCACTTCCTTTGAGTTTCACCAAAAATAATTTAAATATTCTCATTTTAGTTAGTTGTTTAATGTTATATGGTCAATCATGTACCACATTAACTCAGTATTCATCAGCATAGTTCTTTTCTAAACACCTGTCATTGTGTAGACACAAAGTATCATTCACTCATTCCATCTGTTCATTCATCAACATGATCAAACTGTTTAATGCTCACTCAGAATCAGGATCTAGCTCACTCCAGGAGTTTATAGATGAATACTAGTTACTGCCATTCAAGAAGCAGAAAAGTACTAGGAAAGCTAAAAATCTTACTCCAATGCCTCTATTGTGCTATAGAGTGTAAGTTGTATCAGAAGAGGAGTAGATAAAGCTGTTTGTTCAGAGGGAAATTACATTAAATTGGTGTYTCAAGGGAAATGTGAAGGGAAAAACCAAAGGAGACTATGATAGTCGAACATTGTTAGAATTAAAATCCTTGGTGAAGGAACCAATAGGAACAAATGTTTGAAAGCAATGGAGGAAGATAATGCAGAAAATGTGAATTAAAGTTATACTTAGGAATATTTACATTCTTATTTTTTTTGAAAAAAAATGTAGTAAGAATCTTATTTAATAGAAAAAATATTCAGTACTTTGGTTATAGCCATGTCTACCATAGTCAAAGAAAAGCATTGTAAAGTGGAGGAACATTATTTTGAAAGCACTTATAATAACCCAAATGAAAAATAACAGAGCCTTTATTGAGGAAGTGGTAGAGTTAATTGAGAAAAAAGAAGAGTTGGATTGTAAACTATTTACATTGCATAATATTTGGGATTTGGTAACTAATTTGTTGTGAAGGTTAGAATCAGGATCTAGCTCACTCCAGGAGTTTGTCCCTTAAGGTTAACATRGCCTTAAGGTGCCAAGGCTATGTTAGTGTTAATAACAGGAAAATAAAATGGATCATAACTGAAGGAGGGTAAAGAGATATAATGATTTCTTTTTCAGGACTATTGAGTTTAAATGACAGTGGAATACAGAGAAGTAAATAAAATAAATCTAGCAGAAATAAGAATAAATTCTCAAAATAAATTATATAAGAGAGATATTGATTTAAATACATTGATGGAAATGAATGGATTAAAAGGAGAGCAAAAGAGAAGTTCATTCTGAGGACCTTTGGATATGTCCATGTATAAATATAKAGAGGAACAGGAGTGTTGGAGAATATTTCCGGATTTTAGTGCATCTAGAATGATCAAAAACTAAGAGGAAGGCTTTGGGTTGGAGTTTAAGTTGTTATTAGTGAACCTCTGAACAGATTTTTATTAGAAAGGAGAGCAGATTGCAAGGAGTTCACAATTAAGGAATAGTTGATAAAATCAGGAGAGATTAAGATTTAGGGAATAGAGCTGATAGGTATAGGTTGTGTAAATTTTCATAGTGATGTGAGTAGATAAGAATGGAAAGCAGCTGGTGGAGCAACTAAAGACTCTATAACAAAAAGGGAAAACCAAAATTACAGGTGCTGAAGGTTGAAGACAGTTAGCTCAGAGGCACATGTTGGGCAACTCATTCTCAAAGAGGTAATGGCCTGGGAGCTGGTTAAAAAAGTAAGAGGAACAGAACAGAAAAAAATGTCTGGTGTATGGTATGTGGTAAAGTGAACTTAAAACATAGGTTTGTATGGCTTCAGACCTCTTAACAAAATCTAGACAAGATTATTTGCTGAGAGTGAGGAATACTGGCTGGAAAAAAAAAAAGAGGTTTCATTCAAAAGGAATTTGAATGGCATTTCTTATTAGGAGTCTGAACATCAGTTCAGGGGTGTGGTAATTTCAGTTGTGTTTCATGCTTTGGGTTTGATGTGGTTGACTCACCACTTCAGATGTGGTTAATTACAGCTTACTTTGTTCCAGGCGATGTGGCTACAGCAAAGCAAAGCAAGATCCAGAAGAGGAAAAGATGCATTTTCATAATGGGCACAGTAAGCAGATTGTGAAAAAAAAGGGGGTGGGGGAGGAATTTTATTGTTATTTAGAATTCTTTTTAGGTTAGAGGATTTATAATCACTGGTGGAAAATATTGTTATAAAAGCAAGTCTCTCACATTCTTACAAAGAATATGGGCTTGAGCTTTACTGACTGGCTTTAGGCATTAACTGGATGATTTCTTCAATTCTTTAAAGAATGTTCTCATTATAATTATTAAAATAAAAATTTTGGCCTAATATAAAAAAAAAGCTATTACATTTCAAATCAAATTCCCAGGCTACTTCTAATTCTGCAACACACTGTATAGAAATCTATCATTACATAACCACCAGGTTAAACGAATAAAATTTCTCAATTCCTTCTAGCATTATATAGTACAAATTTCTGTGAATAGATCCGATGGCAGCAGCCTTGGTTCAAATTGAAAAGCATTAACTACATTTTTAAAAGAGCATAAAATCAAGTTTTTATAATGAGCTTATAAAATTAATCTAAATGAATTTTAATTATAGTATTTTAATATGTCCATTTTCCTCTAAATAGTACAGCATAAGGTGATTTGCCAGATAAATGGAAAAAACTTTTTTCTTTGTTTTTGCCACTCTACCATGACTGTTACCTGTGGAAAGCATGAGTCCATCTCATAGTCCTATCTCATTTAATATTGTTTATCTTCAAAATGCACTATTTGGGTGGTATCAGTAGCCTTTAAAAGAGATAAACTGAAACTCAAAGAACATAAAGGTTGGGGTAAAGTCATGCAGTGACAGAGGCAGAAGGAGAAGYAGAGCTCTTTTTCTTTTGACTTCTCTACTAAGCTCCTTGTACCATACCACCAGAAGGTTCTTTTAAAATGTGTTTTGAGGGACAGAGGTTGTAGCTCAGTGGTAGAGCATTTGCCTTGCATATGCAAGGCACTGGGTCCRAGCCTCAGCACCACATAAAAATAAATAAATAAAATGAAGGTATTGTGTCCATCTACAACTAAAATGTCTTTTGAGGGCTGGGGTTGTAGCTCAGTGGTAGAGCATTTGCCTAGCATGTGTGAAGGTTAGATTCTCAGCACTGCATATGAATAAAAAAAGAAAATAAAGATCCATAGAACTAAAAAATATTTTTTAAAAGTGTATTTTGAAAAATACAAATTAATAATGTCTGATGATGTTTTTAAGTGAAACATAGAATAAGCAACCAACAAATAAACTACTAATATTTTGCTGTCCAGATTAATAAACAAATGTTTTTGATATGCCTCCAACCCAACTGTCTGAATATTATCATTGAAAGCTGTATTTATCATCATGTATGCATTTCTTGTGTATGTCAACAATCCAGATGTTAAAAATAGTTTACGAAGTAACATAGCTATACAAARGACTCTCATAACTCAGAAGAGGACTTATCCTTGCAGCTCAGCTACTTCAAATTTAAGCCACGTTAGGGTATTAATAAAATATATACTTTTGCTTATCCATCACAGCTTGTATTTTAATACACATTTTTTTACAGTTAAACTGCCAGGTGTAAGAACCTATATTGATCCACATACCTATGAGGATCCCAATCAAGCTGTCCATGAGTTTGCCAAGGAAATTGAAGCTTCATGTATCACCATTGAAAGAGTTATTGGAGCAGGTATGACAGTGTATAACTCTTACATTTTGCTTGTATTATGGAATGTAATACATCACTGTCCTGCTCTAACACGTAATGTTTTTAATCTTACATAATTGACTTGCTTTCAAAGTGGCATGTAATTTATCTCATGGTAATGTCACTTTCTGTGTTCTTCATGCTTAACAATCACATCTGGTTTATTAAAGAAAAAAAAACGCAAAAATATATCTTCAAGTAGATAATGTTTTTCAGTCTATTTTTTGTATACATATAGTAAATTTGTAATATAGAAAAGTATTCACATAGTTCAGTTTATCTTTTTCCAGCAATTGTTTTCTTTTTATCCAGCTATAAACTTTTATTTTTTTATCTTCTCATTAATATTAAGTTTCACTAGAGTAGACAGGAGAGGAAATAGTAAGTGCTTTTTATGCTGTTGCTTTTAATTTCTTTTTTAACATTTCCATTAAGATTTTTATAGTGAGACAGATAAAGCTAATAAATCTTAACATGTTTTATGATCATCTGTGGATGAATTTTCCTAATATACCAATTCTTTCTGTTAATATTCACAATGAAATTTGAACTCCCCTTTTAAAATTTTTTTTCTGGTCTATGTCTTGTCTTAAAACTCTGAGTTATTAGAGTGTTAATAGAATAAGAATTTCAAACAAGCTTTCAAAATTTCTTTGCCATCTTTATCACCAGGTGAATTTGGTGAAGTTTGTAGTGGACGTTTGAAACTACCAGGAAAAAGAGAGCTACCTGTGGCTATCAAAACCCTTAAAGTTGGCTACACAGAAAAACAACGTAGAGATTTCCTGGGTGAAGCAAGTATCATGGGGCAGTTTGACCATCCTAACATCATCCATTTAGAAGGTGTTGTGACCAAAAGTAAGTACAACACAAGCAAATATGCAAGTGCAGGTGTATACCACAAATATGTCCAGATGATGATTAAGTTTAGGTTAGAAAGAAACTGACCACAGTAATGCATTAATTTCTGTAATATTAATATTATTGGTTCCATATTTTGTTAGATTTTTATCAGTTAATYACCAATGAAATTAATATTCAATTATTTTTTTCAAATGTATGCTTTAACCCATTCAATGTCAGAGTAAATATATTCAAATAAAAGAAGCAGTTAAAAAAAAAMCCATATTTTTTCTACTGGCTTTTTCACTCTTTATACTAATTAAATATTGAAAATTGAAGTTTAATGTTTAACAGGAATCCTCTAACCATAGGTATACTGCCACTCATAAGCAGTTTTGTATAGCCAGATGCATTCTTTCATTTGATTTTTCAAAATTAACATATTATTAAAGTTCTAGAGAAAGCAATGGCCTCAGAAGATTGGAAAAGTTTCTTAAGACTTAATTTTCTCTTTTTCTTAAAGAAAATAGAATTTCACATTTATTTTATATGTGTGTTAGTATATTGCAAATGAATGTGTTTGTGTAGAATGTCTCCCAGCAAAAGATTTCAAATAATTTTTAGTCACTCAATAAAGCATTTATGTGGCCTTATTTTCTTTTAGTCTATTCATTGTTTAACCTTCCTACATATTGTGGTTCCTTCCTTCACCCCTATCACTCTAAGGACTACTTACTAAAATCATCAAAAAATTGTGGCAGGCATCATTCTCTAGATTTTTCTTTCAAGAATTTGTTCAACCTCCAGCTTCTATTAATCTATAGTTTCAGATTATATTTGTCAAATACATGTACAAATAAAGTGTATTTAATAATGTTTTTAACAAAAGTAATTTCAATTGGGTTAATATTCATTTACATCATTTTGATTTCAATATGATAAATTCTTCAAAGCTTAAATTTGTTTCTTCCTCCAGTTGAATACCTGCCCAAACATTCTTCTTCCCTTAACGGAAACCCAGAAAGTGTACTGATAGTACAAAAAGGGGATTCTAAGATTTTACTCAAAAAAAAAAATAGCTGCTAAACAAAGGTAGGAGGCTGGGACAAGAAAGAAACAGGCAGAAGACAAGAAGAAAACACTGTTTTTGAAATTAATAAAAAAAGATATTTGATAATGGTTATATCGTGCAATGAATGTGTGAGATTATTCAAAGTAAGATATAGTGTGAAAACTATGGTCATAAGTACAATAAAATAAAATCAGACATTGAGTATGATTATATTCTATTTGAGAGGAAATATCTCAAAAGGWTAATAGTGTATCAGTGACAGCATGTGGAGCTAAATACTATAAAAACAAGAGTCATACTAAAAAAGCCAGTACCCTGGTGTACACCTGTATTCCTGCATACTAAGGAAACTGAAGCAGGTGGATTGCCTGAGCCCAGGAGATTGAGGGCAGCCCAGAAAACACAGTAAAGCCCTGTCAAAGGGAGAGATAGAAAGAAAAGACTGAGAGAGAATCATATTAAGAAGTCTCAGTAAATTTCTTTCTTATGCAAGAGTCATATTATTTAATATAAAATAGTTTTTAATGATGGTAGTAGTAATAATGGTAAGCAAGTATTTGGCAAATTGTTCATCTTCATCTCATCCTTCATGGTCATCAAATTTAACTTCCTAAAAATAATTCTCATTAGGATTTCACAGCACCCAGGGTAAACATAAAGCTCTGTGGGCAGTTGATCCTCCCTCTATAATAAGTTAAGATGGAATGTCTAGAAGAATGCCAGATGATTGTTACTATAATGTGCTTTAGTTACCTTAGTGTTGCTRTGACCAAAATACCTGTCAAGAACAACTTAAAGAAGGAAACTTTTATTTTGGCTCATGGTTTCAGAGGTTCAGTCCGTGGTCCAACAAATCTGTGGCTCTGGGCCTGAGGTGATGCAGAGCATCATGGAGGAAGGGTATAGTGAAGGAAAGTAGCTCAGAACATAGCAAGAAGAAGCAGAGAGAGAGCTCATCTTAATGACAGACAAAATATAAACTCCAAAAGTTCACCCTCAGGGACCTATTTCTTCCAACCAAACCCTGCCTGCCTATAGTTACCACCCAGTTAAACCATATCAGTAGTTTAATCCAATGATTATGTTAAAGCTCTCATAACATTATTGTGAAGATGACATGAATTAATACAGATAAAGTTTGTAGTGGACATGTCACAGAGTAAGTACTCAATAAGTATGAAGTTTTTACATATCCATTTATCGATTTTCTTATGCTCTGAACTCCTCTATATTCATATTTCTCATTGCCTCCTTCTCTGAGACTTGTACCATCATGTTTACTGTCATTTTGATTTCTTGAAAATTCTATTCAAACTCTATTAGCTCCATAAGAAAATCACTCATCATGTAGTCCTGAAGTAATCTTTTATTTTTTTGAATATTGTGCTTATATAAGATTTTTTTTCAGCAGTCTATAATGTTCTCTAATTCGCTACAGAATTCTTATCAAAATTTTCATTTCATTTCATCTCTTTTGCAAATATTTTTTAGTCTCCTTTTAACAATGTATGCTCTGTGAAGAGGCAGATAATGACCTAAATATTCATATAAACCTATTTTTCTGAATTTATGCCATTCCTTGATGTCACTCAAACATTTTAGATATCAATGTCACATAAAATGGAGAAAATAATATTTGTATTAAAGGATTATTATAGATATTAAATTAAAATATGTATATATGTGTGTATATAAAAGCATATGTGTGTGTGAACAAAATTATATTTAATTATATAGTCTAAAATTATATATTTTAATATATATGTAAATGAATATTTTTATATTAGTGGATGATGTCAAAAAGCTATTAGAAGTAATATTTATCAGGTACAGTGGTGTAGGCCTGCAATCACAGTGGCTCTGGAGGTTGGGTTAGGAGAATCTCAAGTTCAAAGCCAGCCTTAGCAATGGCAAGACACTAAGCAACTCAGTGAGACCCTGTCAGTAAATAAAATACAAAATAGGACTGGGGATGTGGCTCAATGGTTGAGTGCCCCTGAGTTCAATCCTTGGTACCAAAAATAATAAATACATTAATAAATAAATAATAAATATTATTCATCTACCTTTTTAACCCCTAATATATTACAGGTCTTTGTTTTTTGTAAGCAAGTACTCAYTGAGCAAAACTCTGAAAACCGCTTATAGTAATATAACCAAAATTTTAATATATGCTGTAAAAACCTTTATCTTTAGAAACAAATATCAATATCAAGAAAAGATTACCTCCAAATTCTGTGAATTCTATCATAAAAAAAATTGTACTGTGGTTGGGTTTCAATTTTCAACCTTTTAGTCAAATATTCTGTTTGATGTTGCAACCCAACATAAGTCTATACATATAAGGAAAGCAAAATATAAATACTTAAAATATGTCTTTGTTTTTAATTTTCTGACCTACAGGAATTGAAACTTTTTAAATGTAGTTCTAAATGTCCAACTTAGGAAGTCTTCAACTTGTTTCTAATTTACTATGTTGCAACTCACTTTATTTGTGTCCTTAATTTCATGCTCTCTGATCTGATGCTAATTTATTCAGCAATTATTCTCAACCTGCAGCACACAGATAATGAGACATAAGTGCAACTAAATCTTGTGATTTTTCTGATTGAAGCTGAGGTGGGGAGTCTAAAGTAACATTCCTTTGGGTGGTGTCATTGAGAGACTCCAGCTTTCCTCTGTTATTGCCCTGATCTTCTGTTCTGTTCATTACCAAAAACTTACCAAAATGTGTATACTTTGATACTTAATCTGACATAATTTGTTCACATTTMCATATTCCATTATTTCCTTTTTCATCATGCTCTACTGAGTTCTTGTTATGCTTCTTTGAGACACCCTTACTCAGCTTTAGAATGTCCTCTCCTCTTTCTTACTTGACCTTTAGGTTTAATTCCAATATGACCTTCTCCATGAGATCAATGTCATCTGTCTCCAGTTTTCTTTCAAGCCCGAGTGTCTGCATGGCAAAGAGTAGACACTCCCCAATGTTGAAGAGCTAAGTGAAGGAAAGCATCTTAATTCTACACAAAGTACATGCTTAGTAATGCAAGCTACAGAGGCCAGAGGTTCCTAGGTCCTGAAACCAGTGCCCAACATGTGCAGAGGCTTCATATACTTGTTGAATAAATGCATTCTTGGCCAGAGGCAATCTTAACAATGCCAGCAGCGTTTCTCTGCACTTTGTCACACTGTACATTATATTGAAGTTCTATCTGTACATTTTATCACCCTTAATATACAATGAGTTCCTTGAAACTGACAGGTTTATAGTCCACTTTGTATCTGTCACAGGGATAAACACAATAGGTAATTAAAAAAAAAAGATATAAATGAGGGAGTTTCACCTTTATGTATAAGTAAAAAGAACCAATAAAATATAAATAGACAAGTGAACAGAAATGTAGCAGAATAGAAAAAGGAGARTGATGGAAGGGAGGGAAAATGGGAGGGAAAAGAAATAATTGTGAAAGGAAATCAAATTCCAGTCATGTATCATTTTGTAGGGATGAACACGATTACTATGTATAACTATAAAGCTCTAATTTTAAAAATTTTTAAAAAGACCAATGAAATAAATTGAGTGAACGTATAAATTACAGTTAAACATTTAAAACTACATTAGATGTTATGATTTATATTCTAGTTTTAAAGCCTTTATTCTATAAAGCCAGGGGCTTTAAGAAATAAGTAAAAATTCATAGGAAGAAATTTCTCTGGGAATCTTTTCACAGGATCTTGTATTTAATACAATTAGTCATTAACATTGCTTTAAGAATTGTCTAAGCTTTGTGATCTTGATATGTTATCTCYTTTAATTTGTACCACAATGCTATGTGATAAACACTATTTATTCTCATTTTATTCATTATAAAAATAGTTTAATACTTTATCCAATATTACAACACTAGCAAGGGATAATGCCAGATTTTAAAATAGCTCT